CGTGACCAGGAAGGAGCAGATCGGATCTGTGGGAACGGAACCACCGGTGAAAGAGGAAGGAAAGGAGGAGGAAGAAAAAGGAAGAACAGCTTCGTCGTGAGATTTTGCGGGGACGTTTCCGGTACAATCGGAAGGAACTAGGATGAGATCTAGATCTCGTTGGATATATCTCGTTTTCTAGTTTCTGGGACACCTTTCAGATCTCGATTCCGAGATAAGACGAGTCCGCAAATCGTATCTGAAGTTGATCCTGCGTTACTATTTCTGCATCAGAAAAGCTGTTTTAGAATTATCTGTTTTCTAGTTTCGAAGAGCTGTTTTTGGAAGAGATTTCCAGTCGACTTAGAGAATTTCTGATCACGGTTTTGGTTTCACTGGAAAGGTGTTGTTGCAAGGTTTCAAGACCAAGTCTCCGGTTCCAGATCCGGTATAAAACAACTGAGTTATTGGTGTTGCTTTCTGGACAAGTAATGTTTATTATGTCAAAACCCAGAAACCCTAACTTGGCCTAAACGCAAATGCAGATTGGAATCGCTATTTTTCCGAGTTTCAGACCGACAGGAGTAACGTTTCAACCGCGTTTTCTTCCAAACTCAGTTTTGGACGTAATTTCTAAGGTGAGGGTTGGGATTTGTGGATTTTTGAGAACCACAAATCAAGAAAACTCGATTTGTATAATAAGATACTCTTAAAATACAAGAGAGAGAAGGAGATTTGGCTTCTGCATGAGATGCCATATGGATACGAAAGCGATGGTGAAGAGGCTCAAGGATTATCAAGAGCATCATGACCTGGGTGGGGTAGAAGTTTACAAGTAAATTTCCTACAATCAGTTTTACTTTTAGTCACAAGATTGAAGACTTTCTCAAAAATGTTTTTCTCTCTTTCAACAATTTCTTTCCATATTTTGCATCAACTTATCAAAAATGTTTTATTGTGTTTGCTATATCTGTCTGACTTTTTGAAATCCTATTAGTATTGAGCCGCGAGTGTTCGATATAAACTTCCAAGTACACATTCAAGAAAAGGAAGAAAGATTAAAAAAATTGGTTAAGCTGAACAAAGACAACTTGCGATTTGTAAAGACGGTTGAGCAATAATGTTTTGCCAAGAATCCTTTTTTTCCTTTTGGCATTGTGATTGTGGAAAAGAGGTCCTTTGGGGGTTTTTATGTGACCAAATATGAGAGTTCAATATCTGAAACTCTAATATGTTTAAAATTGTTTTAATAGTTTTAACTTCACTTGACAAGGACTATTGCGAGCAAACATAATTAAAAAGCGAGATAAATAGTTGTCAATATATAAAATAAATATGAAATGGTTGACAATAGTATATACAAAATATTATATTCTTTATATTTCTATGATTTGTTTTACTGGTTTTTTGCACTGAGAGTGAAGAATGTTGAAAATCCTTCTAGAGAAGTTGTTGAAAAATATTAAAAAGATGATCACATTTGGAATAGAATGCAGTAGTTCTCCTTAAAGATAGCTAAAGAGCACTTCCAATACGAGATCCTCATGGAGTCTTTTAAAAATAAAAATAAGAAAAAAATATGAAACTTAGGAGAGAGAGGAATTTGAGTCTCTCAAATGAGAGATTATAAAACCATTATGAGAGACTCTAATTACACATGTCAACTTATAAATAGTTCATTTAAAAAAATATATTAAATTTTAATCAAATAGATAAATTATGTTAAAATAATAATATTTTTTAGTTTAAAACCCCATTTAAGGAACTTTACCAATGTGGGTGCTTCTTGATATTTCTTTAAGATATCCTTGAGCAAAATTAAAGGATAAATTGGAAAGCAGCAACTTCCTTAAAGATGGCAAAAGAGACTCACACAAAGTAAAAAAAAATTAACGTTTTCATAGTATCAAAATCCAAATAGTCGATGGATCAAATAGTTTTTGGAGAAAAACAGATATGCATAAACATATGCAAACAATTATACTGATTTATTTTAAAATTTCTGGTAAGAAACAAGCTAAGGATAATTAAAAGTGTATGTTGCCAAAAACTATATTTCGTACTTATGTTGTATATTTACTTCAAATAAATTTTATGTTGTATATTTCAATTAATTTTAAATTTTACTCATGTAATTTTTATGAACATATTTGCTTTTCGATCTTTAAAATCACAAACAGTACCCTGTCACAATTTTATTCAAACCAAATTATCAAACTAATCTATAAACAATATATCTGGGTGTAGCCCGGGACATCTCCTAGTTATATACTATCAAAAAGGGACTAATCGGGCTTACGCTAGCCACCTCAGCTTTTTTTTTAACTTTTTTCGAAAGCATCTAGCATCTGCCACGTGACATTTACCAAAGCTAAATAAATCTCCTTCCTAATTTCTCATCTTCCAGTTACGAGAACAATCCTTATTCCACGATCTATTTGTTATGATGTCGCTTCGTCTGTCTCTATTGCTTCATATATCACCTTATCGCTTTGATTAGATCATACCTTGTCCTCTTTCCTCCAGTCTTTTGATAAGATTGAGATCTACATGTCCTCGGTGATTGTTAGGGTTGGAGAAGACATATCACAACATAGCAAATTTCCTAGACGTGACAATGGAAGCTCCACGGCGAAGGAATCATCCGAGGAAAACCCTAATGCAAGGTTGCTTTAACCTATTCACCTTTGTTCTGCTTAGATCTTCAAACGTTCTTTCTTCGACCATTATTTTGCTTCTTATTTCTGTTTATTTTTAGTTTTTTACAAACGACGTCAATTCCGCAAACGTGAGCGGAAAGTTTTCAATTATCAAGTAAAGAAGAAAAGAAAATCGTTGTCGTTCATCTAAAAGTAAGACCATCGACCTCCTTCCTCCGATTCTTCTTCAATTTTTTTTGGTTTAATCATTCTTTTTCCAGTAGATTTGTGTCTTGATCATCCATATATACATGATCTCACAAGCTGTAAGCAAGCCTTCGTTTATCTAAATAAGAAAGCTGACAGCTTCAGAGTAATCATACTTGCTGACTTGTTGTCAGATATAACACTTTTACTGCATTCATGTTAATCAGTTGCAGAGAATTAACCGGAGATTCCGCAATGTATCAAGTTTACTGCACATGTCACTATCTCATACATAGCACCATAGTCTTTTTTTACTACCCTGCACTGAAAAAATACTTTGAAATTTGGATCACATCCTGAACAAATGTTTCCAATTTGGTGTTTATCAAAGGGCCTTGAACACGCCGTTGTTGGTACTGCTCTGCATGTGATCAGATCTGATGAAGGTGAGGAAGAAGCCAAGAAAATAGCCATGAAAGATATGGGCAAATGTGAGGAAAAGATATCACACATTTTTTTTTGTCTCAAGGCTGGTCGTGACGAAGGCAGCAGCAATGCAAACTGGGAAGAAGTAAGCATCATTTTGTAAAATTAAGTATATTAAATTGTCTTCAGTTTAAGAATCTGTCAATCTGAAATAGCTAAATTCAGAGATATTATCGGTTTCTATTGTGTTTTCTCATTCATGATTTGTACAATTTGTTAGTTGTTTTTTAGATGTTCAGCTGAGGTGTGGATACGCAAGCATGGGATGTTGCAAACGCATATGAGGGATGTTGAAGTCCGTAAGTGCGGTTGACATTAGTATAGTTTCTGACTTGCCTTATGAGAATTTGATTATTGTTATTTTGGTAAGTTTTTGCAGATTATAGGTTTGTATATAATCCCTTTATATCATCAATCACTTTGAAAAGTTTGTAAGTTGTTCGAATCTTTTAGGTGTTTGCCTACCATGAATCATCCCAAGAAGTTTGGTTCTCTTGATTCATTGTTCTCTTATTAAGTTTTTGGCAGCTCAAAGGCAGCAAGTGCTCACAGGTTAAGTACATGATTTCTTCTCTCTGACTAAATTATTTGACTCGTTCCTTCTCTGCATTCTGCAAATTTCAAGTCTAATGATACACATCATATTTTGACATAAAATGATGCGGAAGCAAGGCCTAAGATCTCTTAAATTCCAAAATCATAAACATACAGACCCACATTATTTCTTGCTATGTTGTTTTTAGATGTAAGTCTAACATGTGCCTCCTATCTTTGCCTTTTACGTCCTGAATTACCTGTAATCAAAATCCATTTACAGCTTTTTTTGCCGTCTACAACTTTTTTCTAATTGGGTTGTTGTGATTTGGGTTAAAGAGAAATGTGAATTTATGTCTGGTCTTTCTAATGATACATGAACATGCTCGATAGGTTCCCCAATTAATGTTGCAATTACGTACTATGGATTACGAAGGTTGCTCTCCATTATGCATTATATCTATATTTTCTTATTACCAACACAAGTCGTTCATTTCCGATACATCAACAAAAGGAACTGGGCCGCGCTCCTTCAAGAACAACGATCTCAAAAGGGGTAAAATTGACAATTGCTTTTTGCTTTTTGCTTTTTGCTTTCGGCTTTGATAATCACCATCTTCTAGCACATGTGTAATTGATATATATATTTCCTGGTTTCCTTTACATCCAGTGTGGATCCTTTATAGTTTTCTAGGCTTCGGGTCTAAGATTTTACTGCAACATTTTGGAAAAAAATATATTTCAATCTCAGAAAATCAAATTCGAGCAGGTCGTGTGTTTAGAGTTGCGCTGCAGTCTTTGGTTGCTAGATTTTGTTATTGTTCTTCTATTGATATATTTCACTTCTG